GAAGTCATATATGTATATAAAAATAAAGAATAGTAGACTATATATATATATATATATATATATATATATATATATATATATATATATATGTGTGTGTGTGTATATATATAATTATTAATTATATACAAAATTTCCGCCTTACAAACGACATGGGTCGCCACTGGTTGTAAAAGCTTGAGGTTTGACATTGTTGCCAAGTAACACCAAACTTTGATTTAGAACCTTAGGTACTGCACCCCAAATAAATCTAGCACACAATCATGATAAACTCAAGTAGCTATAATTGTATGATCGTCGAAGATGGCGACCTCCAACGGACAATTCAATGCCCCAAGAGCAACATTGAAACTCCTAATTAATGATAGCGATACAAAAGACTAACTCGCCTCAGAGTCGAACAACACTAAAGCATACAGGGAATTAACTAGGAACGTACCTAGTCACACACATAAAATTAAGCATATATCAAGAAATAATCAACAACAAGATATATAGATACATACCGATTAACACATCAGGCGTTGCACTAGCCTCCTTTGTTGTCAGTTGATAGGCATGAGCCTTGGCCTTCAAGGCCTCATCTATCCCCTGACGGCTGTCAGTAATCCGCAGTGTCACAAGTGCTAGAGCATAGGGATGAAAGTGGGTCCAAACCCGGACCGGATGGACCCGGACCCGGAAAACCCGGAACCGGTTAACGTGATTTTGTAGAACCGGAAACCAGACCGGTATATAGGAACCAGTTCCGGGCATGGTTCCGGGTAAAGTGGGTCTAGAACCGAAAAACCCGGAAACATCAAAGTGGGTAGGTTGGAACCGGATAAAGTGGGTTTAGAACCGGAAAAACCGGAATTTTTTGGTAATGACTTACTACTTAGTGGGTTGAACTTTGAAAATTTTCATATTGTTATCTCGACTTTGGGGGACTATAACTCATTGAATATGAAACCAAAATTAACAAAATTATAGTCTAAAATCATGTACAAACTCTAAAATACACTCTGGAAAAAATCGCATATCAATTTGACTTTAAACGAATGAGATATGCATGTGTTAACATTTTCACATAATACACAGTAAAAAAACAAATAGCTGAAAAGTTGAAAATTTTTAGTTTTGATATCCCGACTTCGCAGGACTATAAATCATTGAATGTTAAACCAAAAATGACAAAATTATAGTCTAAGCTCATGTACAAACTGTAAACTACAAGTTGGAAAAAACCACATGTCAATCCGACTTCAAACGAATTACATATGCATGTTTTAAAACTTTCACTGAATACAAAAAAAACTAAAAAACTAAAAATTTCCAGCTTTGATATCTTGACTTTCGGGGACTGTAAGTCAATGAATATAAAACTAAAAATAGCAAATTTATAGTCTAAAATCATGTACAAACTCTAAACTACATGTTGGAAAAAACTGCATGTCAATCGGAGTTGAAACGAATGAGATATACATCTTTTAAACGTTTCACAAAAACCGGTTCCGATCCTAAAAGTGGTTCCGGTTCCAAACATCGGTTCCGGTTTTTAGACCCGGTTTACCCGGACCCGATGGACCCAAACTCGGATTACCCGGAACCCGGATAAATCCATTTTTTAAACCCGAAACCGGTTCTATATATTCCGGTTATAACGGTTCCGATTCCGGTTCCGGTCCGGTTTTCCGGTTCTAAATCCCATCCCTACTAGAGCATGCACTGGTATGGCTGCAAGAAATGGGTAATCCGCCTTCACATAAACTAGCTAGTTGCAATTGAAGCAAACTTGTGTGTCATGTTGTAAATCCCTAGCGTAGTGTCGTTCCTTGCCATATTTGTGGAATCCAGTCCCACGGAACGGGCCCTTATGAAACTTCCCACACTTTTTGTAAGTGCGACCCCTCTTTCCTCCAGATCTCAACTCGGTAGGCTTGAACTGCTTAGTCGTTGGTTGCGTCTGAACTAATGCTTGTCTCTTTTCTTTCTTCTAACTCTCCAACTCTAACTCTCTCCTTCTAGCCTGTGGCTGCAACTCATATAGGGTCTGGAAGTTGGAGTTCACCACGAACTTCTTGATCTCAATCCTCAACATACTCAGATAACGGGACATCTGCAATTGCTCAATGGTTGTGTATGATGGGAAAAACAATGCCCTCTCAGTAAACATCATGGTGATATCCATCATTGACGTCGTCGTCTGCTTGAGCGACAAATACTCATGAGCTAAGCGCTCCCTCTCAACTTGCAGAACATACTCCGCTTTGAACATATCAGTAAATTGATCCCAGGTTAATGTGTCCACTCAGCGAGAGAAAGGACCTTGGAAGCTAGACTCCACCAATCCTTCGCTCCCAAGCGAAGAAGGTTCAGCAAGTACTTGACCTTCAGGTCATCTAGGCAAGAGCACGTGCTAAAACATCCTTGAACATCTGCGATCCATCTCATACTAACAATCGAGTCCTTTCCACTCTCAAACTCTTGAGGATATGTAATATGGAAATCACGATAGCTCACCGTCCAAGATGTAACATTGACACATGTCCCAAACGACAATGTGAAAGATAAGAAAACATAAGATGTATGACTCAAATGGAAAAAAGACAAATCAACACTATTGGCGGGGAGATCATACACTTTTAAGTTAATTCATGACTTAGAGCTCTCCTATCTTACGACCAATCTGAATCACCCTCTGGGAGCATGGATCAAGTACACAACAAAGAGAATCATGAAAGAAAATTCAATTACTAGATTTACACAATTGACCGAAACATGGTTTAAAGCAAGTATGTGAATATAATAAACATCAGTAAGTGATATATAAGGAGTGAAAACAAAACCAACACCCTTTACAAGCATAGATGCAGCATTGGCAGACATGGACTTAATGTGTAATCCATCAAACAAAGAAACAAAGGATGGAAAGTAAGGTAACATATAATGAAATGCACCAAAATCCAAGATCCATAAGAATGAAGGAATATTGGATGAGGACATACCTGAATGAGACATAGATGCAAACATGGTTGCATGATTGTAAGCAAGGAATTGTATCAACTACTCAAAAACCTAAGGATTTAAACAAGAAGGTGGGGCAGTGGTGATATGAACATTAGTTTCTACTGTAGGTGAAACATCAGTCTAGTAGATTGCAGTGGACGAGGGTTACGTCGAAGGAATGGTAGTTGAAACAATTTAGATGGTCTGTTATGTTGTTGCTTTGTGTTATTGAGTAACAATGAGCAGTGAGACTTCCAATTGTTCTTATGTTTGTAGTAAGCACATTCTTCAAAAGCGACTTTGGGGGTTGATCTATCCTTAGGAGCCATCTTACCGGTAAGCAAAGCAAACAAATACCAACAACGAATACAGAAAAATACTTGCAATAACCAAACAAACAAACCTTTGAACAATAACCAAAACGAACAAACAACAATATCTGGAAAAAAAATCAGATGAACAGTACCGAGTTAATGAATAGTGTCGTTTTTTTTCTTCTAAACTTTCAACGAACAATAACAAATTGATCTATAGAAATAATTTAGATGGAACGGAATTATGATACCATGTAAACTAATAACAATCTAAAGACAAAACGGATATTGTTGCATTATTGAAAAAAATACTATAAATATAAAAAAAAATGGTAAATTATAAGACTATATATATATATATATATATATATATATATATATATATATATATATATATATATATATATATATATATATATATATAGAGAGAGAGAGAATTAACTTAGCTAAATGACTAAACAAAATATCAAACATAAAATAAACCCAAATATTTTATTATGATAACAATTTTCATTAATATAATAAGTTGAAAATAGAAATTATTAAACACCAAAACTCAATATGTTGGCGACAACGCAGTGAGCCAAATTAACGTTAACTATGAATAGAAAGAGAACCATAAACATTTGGTAAAAACAAATGGGAGCATTTTGAACAATAAACATCGTTTGTCACTATAAGCTTCTAGTGTTTAGTTTAAACAAAACATTCTAAATCTTAATGCTACATGTAGCATTTAACAAAACACTGCCGGTTAGAAGCTACTCGTTACCCGCTACCAATTATTTTTGCCGAACACACCCATAGTCGAAGTCTAGTTCTATTGATATTGATATTAAGGTTAATATTACCTAACATTTTAGGATTTCTTTTAGTTTAAAACTAAACTTTTTTCCTTTGTTTTTTCATTTTGGCCGTTTAGAAGGCTTATTGAAAATCTTTCGGTATTAGACAATTTGTTTAAAAAACATGTTTTTTTTTCTTTCAAAGACGCATGTTTGATAAACTTTTTGACTAGACCAACTTTTGTTTTAACTCAAAATTCCCTTATTTTGTTGTTGTTTTTGGTGTTTTTGATGGAGGACAATAGAGATTCAGTTCTATCTATATTTCTAATATTGAGGCAAAATGATCTATGTATGCTAACATTGATGAAATTGTATCACAAATGGTTCTACATGTGCTAAGTTGGTTTTTAAAAAAACGTTGATGAAATTGTATCACAAATGGTTCTACATATTAATTTCATTAATGAACTTTTCTTTTAATTTCAAAATTACCAAATTAAAGGCACATTAGTTTCATTTATTTATTTATCTAAATTATTTGTTTAAATTAAAAAAAAAAACACTTTAATTTTAATAATTCAATCTTTTTTCACTTTTCTTATAAATTCAAACTTTTTGAAATGTTTAGAATTTCATTTTTTATTTTTCTTTCAAATAAACTCATGTAATACATGGGTGAGACATCTAGTTTGGCCAATATATTAAAATGATTACTTCCATTTGAGATGTTATTTACATCTATTCTTGAACCCCCCAATCACTCATTTAGTCTGGCATGGTCCAAATACGATTCTTGTTCCAACCATAAATCTTGATTTCGAGTACAAGTAACAACTTTCAATTAAAAACGAGAATAAGAATATGAAATGGACCAACATATTCAAGCATATTCAGCTTCATTTATTATTATAAACAGGAGAGCTAGCACAATAAGGACAATCCTCACATGACATCACATATAAAGTGACTTCTTCCCACTAAGATTCAATATCCCCACCCAACCCCACCTGAATTTACTGAAATACCCTTATGACATCTCGGGCAATCTGTTCATTTCCCTTTTGTTCAGGATGGTAAGATCAATAATAATACATACATACATACATGCATAGATTAGGGGGGGTATGAAAAAGTAGACGTTAATGAGTCACCATGTTATGCCATATTTCAATTACTCGTCATCATCCTTGTCTGAGTTGTTTGATTTGTTATCAGATATCATTTTTTGAATCAACTCGCTCGTCTCTGATTCTGACATCTGTCGACTTGCTCCTGTTGATGACTGAGACTGCGAGTACGACTCAAAGAACTCCTTGTTCTCTTTCTCTAACTCCTTCCACACTGCATGTTATGTGTAGGGTTTTGTTTCACTTTTAATAATGTGATCATATTTAACAATTTCGGATCATGGATCATGGATCATGGTTATGTGAATTATTAGATATATATGTGGATCATGTCCTTCATTTTCTTTCCAAAAGAGTCCTTTAACAAATAGGTGAGACTATTGGACTATGTCTAGCTAGTTGATGTGGGACTTAAACATCATGGAGGCTCAATAATGATGGCTTTGATACCATGTTAGATATGTTAAATTGTTGATTTTCTTTCCAAAAGAGCCCTTAAGGAAGAGAGGGGAGACACCAACATATATACAAGCAGCAGGAATGGATTGTGTCTAACCGAAGTGGGACTGTAGGTTTTGATTAGATGATGACATGTGTGTGCTAGATGCTCACTTTGATACCATGTTGGATATATAGATTTCTTGATTTTCTTTGAAAGATAGCTCTGAAGAAGAGAATGGAGACTCGAACATATATTGGGACCGTGTCTAGCTCTAGCTGATCATGTGTGTATGGCCATGCATGCATGGTCATATATGAATGATCTGTATATATAGTTTGAGGTAGGAGAAAGGAAAGGAAACTAACCGGTTGAGGTGATGACCGGCTTGATGTTTGCATGTTTATATAGGGCTTCCATGCACTCTTCTTTGCTCATGCGGAAGATCAAACACTTTTCTATCAGATGTTGCACCTAAAACAAATCACACCATGCATATATATAGTTAAACTTTTAACTATGATCATCTATAAAGCTTTCGATATGAATTGTGAACCATATGTTTTTGTTGTTATTGTTGTTGTTACCATGTGTATGTATGAAGCTGAAGAGTCATCCATCTTAATTTATATCACTCTCACTGATTTTGTGATACAAATATGGACATGTATATACGTGAAGGATTTGAGTTGTATAGAGAGTGATGAGAGCTAGCGATCATGAAGCAAGGAAAATGCGTTTGAAAGTTATATAGAGATGAAAATGGTGAAGGAGATGGTGGGGTGGGCCATGGAGTCCATGTGGGAGATAGATGATAACTGGTGGAGAAGAGTTTAGAGGAGATTTGGAGTTCAACATTTCTGTCTTGTAGGAATCCAATGTGGCAGCCCCCCTTCACGTGACCAGTGGGTCCCACCTACCCTAGACATTCTCTAAAGTTTTAAGACTATTCACCAATGCTACTTGGAAGAAAGCATCATTACCATAAAAAGACAATGAAATTATCGTCCTCAAAGCCTTTTAGCAAATCAGAATGTGACATATGGCAATTCATGATCACAGATTCTAGTGAATATACATAGGGATCCTGCACCAAGCTTACTGCTGATGTGGTGACATACAGGATCGTCCATTTGTCCATGTGGTGATTTGGTGCTTCATGATTGGTTGATGGAAACAAGACAAGTAAAAGACATTCATGATCTGGACTTCTTTCGGTTCTTTAAGATCATAACTTCACTGGTTCATTTTTATCTAGCTAGCCTTACATTTTTTTATATTAATTTTACATAGATATTATGGTATCGAACATCATTTGTACAGATCTGGTGTTTCTTGAAGTTTCTGTTTTTCTTTGTGGACTCCAGTCAAGTGGTTGGTTTGTCTTATTACAACTTACAAGTAGCACAAACTGTCCAAGAAGGATGAATATTTGCAAACATATCTTCTTATTCAACACTTTATAGAACACCAACTTGATCAGCCCCCACTAAAAAGAAAGAACTCTTGATGGGAGGGTTTGAGTATATATAAAGCAAATATCTAATCAAATAGTGGATCAAATAGTGGAATATATCTTGTATGACAAAAACAGTGTCACCAATAGTTTGAAATCTTTCTTTAAAAAATTATTCTTCCAGCAACCTTTAAGTTGTCCACAATACCCTGTGTGAAAACATCATTTGAGATGTAAATCAGACCCACACTCTAACCCTTGAAGATTTCATTTTATGTCGGTCTTTGGAATTCAAGATTCAAATAGGACTTAAATCACGTAGGAATCATTCAAGAAATGGAAAGGAATTTAATTATTTGTTAAAAGACAAAAATACCCTAATGCTATTTCTTTAACTTGCTACTCTTTAAATAAATTTTACAAGTCCTTACGATGGGAGTGTAGTGGTTGAGTGGAATTCCACACAAGAAGTCCAGGGTTCTAACCCTGACACACACAAAATATTGTTAGTATTCAATGATTGACTTCCCATGTGAACCCTGAGACAGGTTGACAGTTGTTTACCATTTTTTTAAAATAAAATTCTAATGACAACATAAGCACAGGTGGAACACATGTCCAATATATATCCTAGACCAAGTGAAATATGCATAAATTTCAAAATTACACAGATTTCTAATACAAGAGTTGTTGTTGGGGCCCATCTACAGAAACTGACAAACTACAAACTACAAAACAATGTATCTAAGACATCACATAGATACCAAACAGAAAGATGCACAGTTTTTGGGACCATTAGTAATATAGTATAATGATGACTACAGACTAGTTACCATTATACATACAGTCATCAAATGAGAGGTGAAAAGGCCCTTAGATAATTGGGGATCGATCTAGGATAATGACCTTATCTTAAAAAGCTACCGACCTAGAACCTACAACCACAAAAATCCTCATACATACCACAATTTGGTTCGACACTGTTGCTTATTGGTTAAAAACCTTATCTAACAACCCTTATTTCATGTATTTGACGATTTCGATCTGGCTATCATTCAACATCAGACTTAGGTGATTTTGTTACTATATATGTGATGTGAATTCTAGTGATAATCCCCACAAGAATATACAAAAGACCCACGAATGTAACCTTTGAAATAACTACAAAGAATAGGACAATACATTGAAACATTCAAAGGGTTTTATCATGATGTAAAGTAATGAACATCATAAAACAAAGAATAAGACAAAATTTGAAAAATCTTTAATGAAATCTCAGACAAGCATGCAATTGGAAAGGAAAACGATGGAGAAAGACTGGACATCGCAAATTCCAATGAGGTTTGTTTGCTAGACAATAAACATCATAGGCTTACTTAAACCATGTCTTAATTGAGAAAAAGACTAAACATATGATAATATTCATTCTTGCTTGATACCACGGGAACTCCAAAAATAGATACAAATTGGGTATTAAGGTGACCGAAAACCTACTTGTCAATCAGCAATTGATCTTCTACCTCATGAATCTTTCCAGAAACTAAAACCTACCAATTTGTTACAAGGTCCAATTGGAGTAGTAATTTCCGACATACGAAAGATAAATATATCGTGATTTTTAAAGATTTTAGAATCGGTGAATTTATAACGAAAAATTTAGACTAAAAAATTGGGGGTGGGTTCGGGAGGCCCGCTCAAGCGAGTTCTGCAAAGTAAGCAGCGTCAACGCAAGGCCAGCCTATAACCCCTCCATAAATTCATGCGCTCATTGGTTATGAGTGGCGCGGCGATCGGCTCTCACCGCTCGCTTTGTTTTCCTTACTCATTAGTTTAAGGCAACTTTTAACGCTACACCTATGCCCCTTATTTATATCCTCTACGCTCTATTACTTTTCACCTATCCAACCGATGTGGGATCTCCACAAATATAACAAATCAAAAAAACGACCAACATTTTACTTTTACACCCTTCTAGTTCTAACCCCTTTTTATTTAATATAATCATATGTCCTTCTTATTATTTTAATAATATGGTTTCCGTTTAATGTGATTCTTTTAATCTTTTTGTAATTAAAACAATAGACAAAAGAAATTTGATGTGTCCATTGAGTCTGACATGACCCGTTTTGAGATGTTATCTAACCACTTCTCTAACAAACTGTTGAGATTTTGACTTAGGGTCATGGGTTAGATTCAATTTCATTAAAAACCGTAGTTTTTTCTTGTGTTGATGGTAGTATATAAGATAGAATCATGCAAACTATAAGTAGTAAAGGAAATTTGTGAGATGTGTATTCATATGCATACATACTAGAAGCCAAAAATGAAATTAACATGTTAAAGAATAGATGTGTTTACTGTATTTTAGATTTTTCATACAAGACAAAAGACTAAGCAATCAACATTGTTACAAAATTTCATTTCTTATCTAGAATTCCTTCAACAACAACTTTTACATGTACCCATCTAGAACCTTAAACAATCAACATTGTAAAAAAAATCACTATCAGTCATATCTAGACTTTCATGAATGTGATTTCATCAAAATTATTGTTTCATTACAAGAACAAATTGCAAATATACACCAAAATGTTGGACTGGAAAAACAACAAAGCACACACAACACAAAAACTTACATAAACAACCCTAGAAAGAATCGTTTGGCTCAAAAGAATATGGTTCGACTTCAATACAAAAAAATAGTAAGAATGATATGATCTTAGATATAGATATACAGACATGTATATGTATATGCAAAAATATTATATAATCAGTGAGATTTTCTTGATAAGAGTGGTTCCAATTGAGGGTCGGGATCATTAGATATTATGATATCTTTTTCACCCGATTCCATTTCAGATGTTGACAAATCTTCCTTTCTTTTTTCGCTTAATCTTTCTAAAAACCTTGAACGTTTTTCGGGGGATAATTCGGGTATTTTAGGTGGTGCATTGTTTGAATTCGGGACATGTTGGAGGCAAACTTGAACAGCATCATGCACTCTCACAAAACACCATTCTTTACCTATTTGCTCTATCAATCCCGATTTCGATAGTGTTAAAAGTACTTCTTTGTTTGGGTTTGCAATAGCTATCTGCATCATCAAATCACAAAAATTACATTTACACCCAAAAAAATTAATTCTCATAATATAAATGAAAAATATATATATATATATATATATATATATATATATATATATATATATATATATATATATATATACTTGTTTACCTGAATATCTCTTGAATTGTATTCCTGATACAACTCTTTTAGTGCTTGAACTGCACTTGAATCCACATAAGTAACAGCTGAAAATAGACATGAAATTATGAATACTTTGTGAAATGTTAATATATGTTTTTTTTAATATATGTATTATTATACTTACGTGCCATTTCCAGTATTACAAAATATATTCTTTCAACTTCGGGCCCACGTTTACAAGATTGATCGACCTCAAGTTCATACTCTCGGAGCCTGAAATTATATGATAAAATATTTAACACAATCTGTTTTAAGTTTTTTTCTAAGGCGATATTGATATTAATATTAAATTATTAATTTTAATTTTCACCTGTCTTTTATGTAGCTTGTATTTGCAAAATATATAGGTGCATCAATTCGAACAATTACAATCCCATTATATGTATATGCTTCTGGATATTGTTGAATGTTCCTATACACAGTTGTCCCAGGAAGTCGCCCTAAAACAGCTGCAATCATAAAATTTATTTTTTTTATTATTATTATTATCAAAATTAGAAAAGCAAAAATAATTAAATAACATATAAGATATAACAGCCTGTAAAATATATCAAGCTTACCAATATGTGGATTTGCAGATTCTTGGATCACAAAAGCAAGAGAAAAACCAACCTATGTTTTTTGCACAACATTAAAAACATCAAAAAGTATATATATGTATATCACAGTAGTAATATTTTATAAAATTTAATATGCTTACCCCAACAAGGACACCAATTTCAATCCCAAGGAACAATGTTGTTGTACTAGTAACTACCCAAAGAAAAAAATCTTTTTTATCTACTTTCCATAAAAATATAGCTTCCTCATAATCCACCTTTAACAAAAACAACAATCAAGTATTAGGATTTAAATAAATTATTCTCAATAGCTGTTAAAGTTATAGAGGAATAGGATTATAATAATAGGGTAGAAAATATAAACTGACCAGTCCAATTACAGCAGATACTACAATAGCAGCAAGAGCACACTACAAAAGTGAACAAAAGAAGCATTAAATTAAAATTATTTCACAATTCATGTGACATATATTAAAAGATAAAACCAATGTGAAAGCATACCTCAGGTATATATTCAAATACTGGTGTCAAGAATAACAGGGCACCTAACATGATACAGCCCATGATGATTCCTGATAAACCAGTTTTTGCTCCACTTTCATGGTTGACTGCTGACCTTGAGAAGGAACCTATACAACATATTCAGTAGGAGAAAATTGTTTCTTTTAAAAAAATATATATCAAACAATAAAAACTTATAAAGTGTAAAATGAAATAGTTGAGTATACATTATACAAGGTAATTTATGTGATAATCTCACCTGTTGATGGGTATGCTGAGAAAAAGGACCCACAAATATTGGCCACACCAAGCCCAAATAACTGTTTTAAAAAAATATAATGTTTATACTTTATCTATAATTAATAAACTATAATAATATAACGATGAATTATATTTTTTCATCTATGAAACACACCTCTTGATTGGAGTCAAGTTCATATCCATTCTTTGCTGCTAGAGCTTTAGCAATCCCCACAGATTCCTATATTTAAGACATCTAATCATTAAAAAAAAACAGTTAATAATAATAATAATATATAATTTTAGAGAAATATAATGTTACCAGTATAGCCACACCAGTAATGAGAATAGCAGTTGGGATTAAGGACTTGAAATGACTAAACTCTTTAGGGGGAGAAAATGGTGGAAGGCCTTGAGGTATATCTCCCACCTGAAATATTTTTTTATTAAAAATCATGTGGTAATGTATAAAATTTTTGAGGTATAATCATAATAAGAAGTTAAGAAACAAATATATGAAAATTATCATTGATTTGTTTCAGAAGCTCAATTCCAGAACACTTGAGAAAGAGCTTCTCTCATTATTCTCACCAAAGAAATGGAAGAGGGATGAAATATTTTCACAAAGGCTGTACCCAGAACAACAGCAGTGAGGGGCCCACCCGCTCTCAGAAACCGCAAATTCTTCCTTGTTTTCCCCTTAATTTTAAAAACCATATATTATAATTAAAAGATTCATATAAAAAAATGGAATGAAAGTAAGTTAAAAGGAAGAAAATGTGTACCAAATGCTTCATGATCAAAAGAATTGCTAGAATAGAAGACCCCATGATAAAAGGAGGCCATGAGAAGTTATCTGCTCCTTCTATTATACTCTTGACCACTGGAATTATTTGGCTACTTCTTGACACATCATACCCTAGGAAATATTTTGCTTGTGATAAACCAATAACAAAAGCTGAAGCAGTTGTAAATCCGGATATTACAGCATGACTGATGAAGCGGATGAGCCATCCAAGCCTATAATGATTAAAGAAAGTAGAAAAAAGTGTTCAAGATTCAAGATTGATATTAAAACTAAAAGAGTTGATGTAAAGAACATAAGTATACCTCAAGAGCCCCATTGTGCATTCTAGAATCCCAACCATGAGTGATAACATTATTGCAAGTTCTGTATATAATTCAGGAGATGAATCAAAAGTGCTTAAGACATTAGAGACCAGTAGAGAAACCAATGCTACTGGACCAACAGCAAGCTGGCGAGATGATCCAAATATGGCATACACAAATACAGGAACAAATCCAGTATCTGAAATGAAGATTGAAGATTTGAAGGATAAGGTTATGAAGCTATAACATGATGATAAATGAGGGGAAAAGATCAGTTATAATGTAAGGATTAGATGTTGAACTTACAAAGTCCATATATTGGTTCAAGTCCAGCTAGCTTTGCATATGACATAGACTGCAAAGTGCAAAATAAACAGAAATTCAGAAATAAGTGTAGGATTCAGCTGTTGCTTAAAGAATACAGACATCACATATGTATTTAATTGTTTTGAATTGGCATCTACCTTATACAATTGAAACAAAGCTCGTAATCTATCCACTAGAAGAGATGAATAGAGTCAATAGACCAACATTGATAAACCCTAAAGTCTAAATTCGAAATGTAGTATATCTGAATGTGACAGATTTCGTGCATAGGTTAATGAGAGATGTAATTTGATTGTTGAGATGAATGAATTGCTTAAACTAAGCATATTTGTTCATAGGAGTAGATGTGAAATCTAACGTGATTATTTAATTTTCATGAGATTGAAGTAAGAAATTCGTCATTGGATACTATTCGGCCAAACAACAACCAACAAATGCATCACAATCAAATATAAACAAAATGCCAATTCAAGTTTTCTAGTCAAACACGATACTATCATCAAACACGAGAACAGAAATCAGCAACTGGAAGAAGAAGGGAAAAAAATCAATCTATCAGTTTCAGTTTTGTACGTAAGTAACTTCAATTCCATTGGTACCTGAGGAACAAGCATGACACCGACGGTGACACCGGCGATAACGTCAGGCTGGAGATACTCACGCCAATTGTAAGTACGAATCCACCTGGAGCAAGGGAGGAAGAAATCAATCCAATCAACAGTCTTCATCCGCTTCACTTTCGTTCTCCATCTCGAAAGCGGTGTCGTCGAAGACGACGACGTAGGCGTTGTATCCCCGGCGGCGTATGGGTGCTGGAATGGTATGACTTTAACAGGACGAGGCGGTGCCGGAGTCGGAGTCGCAGTCCTGGCCATGGACGAGGCCGATCCGACGATGTCAGAAAGACTGGAGGATGCGTATGTTATCTCCATGCGCACCCAAATTACACGTATTATTATGAGAGTGGTGGCTCCGCTTTTTAAGATGGGTGGCGCCTCCGCTAGCCGCCGATTACCACGAAAATTTTACCATTTTAAGTCGATTTTAGCTTATAAAGTTCGTTACGTCAACGATTTGTAGGTCCAACTAATCATACGATTAATTTGAAATTGTTTTAGTAAAAGTAAAATAGATTATTTACTAATATTAGTAAACTAAAGTTCAATTTTTAATTATTTTACTTTTACTTATTAAGTTGTTGCACAATTTAATATATCTTTGCATTTTAAAAGATAAAATAATTAAAAACAAACTGAGAGGTACAATTTATTTAGAAAACGATTTTAATATATTATTTGCTTAATGTCAAACGAAGAAAAAAATAGTATGTCAAGATCCAGTCAAATTTATACATATGGAACAAGCTTTTATGAACTTTTATTTAATACTATTGTATTGATTTATAACAATATACTTATTTCTATAATTTAAATGAGACACGTTAAACTATGTTTTAAATTTAAAAAGTAATATTTTAATTGATTTGTTTGTATTAAAATTATGTGTTCATTTATTTGTATTACAATCTTCCGTCTTATATAACTCAACAAGTTATACTAATGTTTACAAATAAAAACAATTTTCACATATATAAAAACCATAGTCTCCTTGTACAAAATAAAAGTATAATACTACAATGTTTTAATAAAAAAAAAACAAAAAAATACTATAATACACGTGTAAATAAGAATGCATTGTTATGATTTACTAATATCTTTTACATATAGGTTAATGAAAAGTAATAAGTTCAATGTCGTTGGATATTATTGATTATTGGATATTTATTTCGGATCATATAATTCTTCAATAACAAAAGGTCAATCTGATTTAAATATACGTGACAAGCGTGTTCTTAATTAAAGGTTAGATACCATAATTACAAAAAATATAGAAAACGTGTCGGCTGGACATGAATGTCGTGCCAAGATCTAAAGGTGTACCAAGACTTTATTGTGCACCAAGTTCATTCTATCCAATAGTATCTAACCTCTATTTTTCTTGAATTCAAAATAATTTATGAAAAAATAAACAATACTCTATTTATTTTTGGGGGAAAAAAACAATGATATTAGTAGGTTTATACATGTTATTATAATGCTTATTTGTTTTTTAAATATCTTTAAATTTTAAATGATATAACAAAATCAATATACAACATACACGTTATGTGGATTTAGAAAAGAAATATTTGATGGGTTATCGAGTTGACTATATCTATGATATTTATTTTACTAGTAATGTAAGTGTTATAAACTTATAATCATGACAGTTGTGTCCTATGATCGAAGCATTTGTTACATGCTCGAATAATTTTTATAAGAAATTGATTTTATATTAGTGAAATGGCATTAATCGTTCGCTTAGATACCAGTATAATCCGAGAACAAGTCATTGTCTGACTTATAGAAATATTCTAAAGTACTTGCGAGAACTAGAGAAATATTCCTAGTCTACAAAGTATTTGAAAGAAAGTTATATTTAAAGTTGTTACACATGTGCTAAATTTTCAAATAAATTGAGATGACTCTCAATCACAATCGGGCGTGTCCTCATTATGAATGAAGAGATAGTTACATGGATAGTGGTTCCATGTAGATTTTAATTACAGATACGCATCAGAGTTAGAGTACCTCGTGGTTTGGAGAACCACGTACAAAGATGCTTAATGTATAGTTCATTATGACTATGAGTAATCTTATTACGCAAGTATTGGTATCTAATTCATATTCAAGCATCTAATTCGTTCTCAATAGTTTTTCTTTATATATGAGTTATATATAAAATTGAAAATGATTGTATTCGCAAAGTTTACACAAATCAAGTTTGACAAAGCTTCATCATTAACTAAAGCATGAAAGTCAAGTTGGTGCTATAGGACCTTGTCGATATAAGTAGATGTATTGATTGAAATTTAGTATTTGGATATTGGAACAATAAAGACAACATATATTGTAATGAATTGATATATTGATATGAGTCTTTCATTGAATAATTGTTGTGTTCTATATTAGCATGTTTAAATCCCTGAATAAATAGGTTATTCTAAATGTCCATAGTTGTTCATAGTTGTGGGAGCATCTATGAGGTAAGACTAATATGAGTGGATTGGTGGATTCTCATAGGGATGAGAATAGCAGGAGCTGCTACCAACTTCATAGGTACTTGATTAAGAGAATAAGTATTGGACTTGACCCGCATCAAAACCACTTTATAGATCGTAGTCAAGAGTGATGTTTTGATCAAGGTTGTATCTTTGTATTCTTAGACCTGAGATACATATTCGGGACTTGAAGTGTAGGAATTGTTGTGCTTTGACATGGTTTAACGATGTTCCATAAAAGGACAGTCATATGGGCCATCGTTGGGTATGACATGAACTACATTGATGGGCGTATGTAGTCGAGATGGGATTTGTCCCTCTTATTCGTTGAGAGCTAGACATCTAAGGCCTTACTTAAAGTTGAACAATAAATGAGATTGATGGCAATTCATATCTCATGTTTGACATGATGTATGAGACAACAGAATTATTGATATCACACCTTTAGTAACAATTGTAGCTTATAGCTCTTGGAATTGGTTGTTGATGAGATGGCACCCTTCATATGTTGTTAGGGGCAGTAGTCTGTTGCTAGACGTCAGCTACTGTCTGTGTCAGTCTATAATGAATTTTGTGCAAGTAGGAGATTGTTGAATCTATATGCCCAAGAATCATTATTGAGTGATATTGCTAATAATATATGCAGGAGCGGATCTTATATGGGGCTAGGGGGCTATGCCCTAGACCCCCCCTATTTTTTTGGCAAAAATAGTCCCTATATTTTAGTTTTATACATATTAGGCCCAAAAATATAAAATTTTGACTATGGCCCCCTTGTTCACCAATTTTTATACAAATTATATTTTCGCCCCCCCCCCCCCTCCAAATGAAAGATTGAAGCTCTGTCACTGAATATATGATCATATAGGGTCACACATTTATCAAGTTGTCACATTTTATATATTTATTATTAATATGATTATTAATAAATAATATCAATTCTTGTATTTTAACTAGGGAATAATTATTGTTTTGTGAAAATAATAATTATAAGAGAGTATTACTAGTTATTATATCATATGATATGATTTAATAAGTCATGTACAAAGTTTTGGACACTTTGGTTAACCATGATTAAGTTAAAGACTTACTCTACCATGGTTAATAAATTTGGAGACAATTTTTGTCTCTTCCAAGACCCATGGCCGAAAATCATAAAGGCATGGGAGGTTGCTTGTCAACCTTTCTTCCTTTTGTCTCCCATGCCTCTAAAGTAAGGTGATTACTTTTTATTAATTAATGGGGTTGCTTTTTCTTTTCATGAACTATATAAGAGAGTACATGGAGCTTGTTTTTGGTGTGTGAAACACTCTCTTCTTCTTCCTTTCTTCTCACCAAAACCGTAAGTAGCATGGAGCTACTTCTCTTGTTTTTCTTTTGAAGATCATTCAAGTCTTTGGTGGTTCAAAGAGCTTCTCCTTTAGTGCTTATTTAAGTTAAGCACTTAAAGGCTTAAGAAGTACTTTATACAAGAAGGAACTAGCATTCCAAGTGCCTTAATCTTGATGGTGGATACTTGTAGAGAAGATCATGTTCTTTGATCTTTACATCTTCATCAACACCCCAAAACCAAGTGGGTTCAAAGGCTTCAAAAGTTATCTCTAAAACATCCTATGGTTGTTTTTATTTCATTCTAACATCTATAAATGGATCCATGATGGTTTGGTTTTGTTACGAACTAAAAATAAACTTGTTATTTTTAAAGTCTTCCGTTGCCGGTTTTTGTGAAAACAAACTTATATTTCGTATCAAAACCCAACACCCATGATCCAAGCTCACCAATTATTTCCAAACCCCATTTGTGCCATCATCGAAACTATAAAATTCTAGTTTAGTGAATCGAAGGCTTTTTCGAAATCAACTTTAAATAACATGACCTTTTTCTTTGATTTTTTCGCCCCATGTACATATCTCATTAATTATCAAAGGTACATCTAGAATACATCTTCCTTCAACATTTGTCCACTACTCGTTGCTTATCACCAGACCTATTACTTTCTTCAACCTATTTGCAAAAGTTTTGCCAACACCTTGTAAATGCAATTGATTAAGCTAATAGGCATGTAATATTTGATAGACTGTGGATCACAAATTTTAAGGATCAATGAAATGAATGAAGAGTTGCAACCTCGACTAACAATTCATGTATCTTCAAATTCTTTGATAAACGCCACAAAGTCAAGATATACCACATCCCAACTCTTTTGATGAATTTAAAAGTAAACCCAAAGTTGGGTGCTTTTTGTTACCACACTTTCAAACACTTTCTTTAATCTTTTAAGAAAAGAAAAGATAAATTCCATATACTTAAATTTCCATTTTTGAACATAACAAGAATAAGATGTTTGGAATTGAATTCCATGGGTTTTAGATTGGAATCTTGAAATCTACCCTGAAAGGAATTTGTGAATTTCAATGGAATTCAATTTCATACTCTTTTGCAATTAATTGTGGAAATGGAATTCAAATTTTGGCCAAATCGCATGGACTCCGATAATTAATTGGGACATGATCAACTATATATGGGCATTTTTTTACTTAATTATGTAAAAAGAGATCAATTTGATAGAGAAAATCATGAAAATGAAGGTTTTCCCACTAAGTCCCAACTTTTATGATTTTTTTCTACTTTATTTTTTCCTTCCATTTCCTAAGTTTATTTTCATTTTCTCAAACACTGTTTATCAGGACACATTCTATCTTAATTACTTGATGACCAACAGTTTAGGCCATAATTAGGCATGATAATTTGGTATGACCCGTTGCAAAAAACTAATAACTCGCCCTTATCAGGACTAGGTATTCCCCTTGAAACCGAGTCTCGAGTATGGGCTTGGGAAATCCCTGTATGGCTAAAAAACAGGTAGGGGTTGGGTCCAGGTATCGTATACCCAAATCCAAATCCATGTTTTAT